AAGCCATTAAGAACACGCTGTTGCAAGACTTCAACGAAGGTACGGGGTTTTATGAGCTGCCAATCGACTGTCTACATCACAGTCAAAACCATTGCCATCACCACCACCAGTGGAAGGGAAGGAAATTTCCACAGCTACATTTACACCCATTTAAAATATGCGGATCAGGTGGAAAGGGAAATAAGGAGGAATGTGAACTACTACTGGGTGTAGAGAGGGGGGGACGCCAGGGCGAAGGAAGCGGTTTATGGTTTCACCGAACCTTACCTTTTGTATGCCTTGTGACATAGAATGCATAATTCAGCAGAGATCGGGGATATAGGCAATGACACTCCTGAGATGAGGGGGATGAGTGCGACGCGAGACTCACTTGCGCAACGCCTTCACAACAGGTCACGTAAAGCCACCTGACCGGCGAAGTAGCTTGCTCAACACCTGTGTGTTTGTTTAGCATATGCTTATGAGATAGGGTATGGATGATCTGTCACTTCTATTCCCCCCTTTCCTCAACCCCCTCAGTTCTCCCCTCTTTGAAAAGCTACGATGACTCAGAAAAATCAATTAAAGAAGTCGGGACCAGTCACTTCATTATTTCAGCATCTGCCTCCATTCACTCTCAGTTCCAATCAGTGGTTTAAAACAGGGAGAAGTTTAGTGCATCAGGCTTCTGTATCATACTTTCTTTGAAAAGGACTTGCGACAGATATCTTCATAATCCAGTAGGCCACTGAAGATATTTATAGGTCTACTCAGTTATGAAATTTGTAATGCAATAATTGGTGAGCATTGAGAATACGTTTATCAATGCATTGTTCACAATAAGTGGGATGTCCTTGTCACTTAGGAGAGGAAAATGTAGATTATGGAAGGAACGTGTAGATTTCACTCTTCTGTGGCCACGCAAGTTGATCGATGACGTACAGGAGGATGCATAGGCTATGGACCCGCCGTCACCTTGACAGTGAGGAGAAATGATGCCATTTACTACACCTACTTAACAGTCGGTGGTGCTTTCTTTCTTTCATAACGTAAAGCTTAGCTTTAAATTGCACGAAATTTGCACTTTTTGATTGACATTGAATAAAAAGTTGTCTGGGATAAATCGTAACGAGAGAAGTAGGTGCTATAATGCCTTGAGAGAAAACTCTAACGAAAAACCAAAGGACCCATTTTTTCCTTTTATAAGGATGGTAATCTAGAAAATTGTGCTAGTATCAGTGGATCATAAACGTTTCGAAGGAAGAATGGCCGACAAATTACGAAGGATTTACACATTCATGAACACCTTTGTTCATATTTTCCATTTAACAATTTCATGGCTAATTACTTTTCATCAGACTCATCTCATCTGTCGAATAGTAATGTAATACATACACATGAAAGGATTGATATCAACACAAGTGATGACGGTTTGAATTAGACGAATGCTATTTGACAATCAGGTATTCACTTCCAGTAAGACGAACGAGAGTGATGTTGCGCAGATTAGAACTTCGATACATATTAAAGCGTTCGTCGTACATCTCAAGTGGGATTAATTTTACATAGCTGACTCCCATCCCACTGCACCCCTTTTCGCCTGGGCCTGTCTCTCCACCTGATTATATCACTGCACCTACCGAGAGCAAGGCGGCCCACCTTTTAATTCATCCTCACAAATCGTGCACATATGCGAAGTGAAGCGAAGTTAGAAGTCTTCCTGCTGTCCACCTGTTGCCGTTTTACCCGCCTCTCACACGCCATGGCAACCGACTCAAAAGCGGTGCAAATGAAAGTGGACGTGTCTTCAACCCTTATCTCGTGGCCCTTTACAAGTAAATTAATTGAGCGACGGTCACCAAGCGACACCTTCCCCTTCCACTTTCAGTCGATTTAAATGGAGGCGTGAGTGGCACTCGCATCCCCAGACTTGTCGCACCAACCCCACTGAACTAACACGAAAAACCCCACTTGATGGCACTGCTGCTCTTCCGGATTCCGTATATCACTCTGGCAAAGGAGTTCATTGTGTGCTTTGTAGCACACCAAACCATTCCTGGCAGTATAACAATACGGACGAAAGCTTTTTATTGGCGTTTGAAAGGCTGGCATTCATCCAACACCATAGCACCAAAGTGCCATAACAAATATCGTCTGATCATTGCGTCGTGGGACCCACAAACGAAAATGAAGTTAATAACAAGCAAACATCGCGGCACTAATCTAGTGCTAATTTTCGATTCTGGGCAATAATGCTGTCCTAAAATGGTTCTTTGAGCCTATTTGGAACATGGATGATAAAATCAAATTAAGAAATTGAAATGGTTGCAATGCATCCGCATCATCAACAATTGAAAAAAAAGCATGACGAATCCTACCTTTTGAATATTACGACACCTAGACTGATATTTACATGGATGGCCAAGTTGTCTAGAAGGGTAATTTACTCGTCAGTTTTTGGTACAAAAGTAGAGTTGACGAGATTATCAAATTACCGTGTGGTCCTTGCAATTCGCCATTTCGTCAATCTAAAATGTCGGGAAATAGCATTTTGTTTTAATTATTTTTATTGCTCCTTCCAATCAAATGACTTCGGAATCATTACTCTCACTGCCCTCAATCGCAGCTTGTTCCTGAGAAAGAGGCATTTATAAGAGACCTAGAAATTAATGCCATGCAATTAAGGTGAAAGATGCCAATGGCCTTTCGTCGACCGAAATGCCCTCCCCGGTTAGTTAAGTCTTCCCACCTCAGTCTCCATAATCTCGTTGATAAATTTGTGACACTAACAGAAAGCAAAGCTTCCACCCGGCTAAAGCTCCTACAAATGTACAGTTGCTGAAAATTCCCTCGAGTATATCTAGCAAGCTGTGATAAGATTGGCAAGCAAGTAGGTAAACTTTCGATAAGTGTTTTGCATTGAGTGAACAAACAGATTCATATATGCGGAAGGCATATTAGTCAAAAGTCAACTTTTACGGTGGGAATTATCGTCAGGATGTGAGCACCTACGAGTGCGCGACCATGACTCCAACTAGATCGTCTGCAGTTTCTTACGAGTAACCGACGCTCCTACTTACCTGTCATCACCTCTACTGAGAGCATCACCACTCTAGCCGCAACCCCCATGATTTACGCATCTAGGGTGGGCAAGGAGTTATATGGGAAAATCTAGTTACCTTCACATCGCATGCAGATGTATCTGCGGTTCTTCCAGTCAAGTTGGCTATCCTGCAATTTATGGATCACGTTCATAAACTCCCATGCAATTGTGACAGGTTAAAGGCTATTACTTCGCTCCGTAAAAGAAGCTAAAATGAAGGTCAAGGAAAGTGTTGGAAAATGAGTACGATGTGGATCAAAGCGGCAGTAATTAAGGTACGGTGACAGCATCACAATGATGTGTGACAACCTTGCACGCGTATCCGTCTCTGAGGAGAATTACCATTGTGATATCATGACTGCTAAGCGCAAAACAACCTCCAAAGGTTTTTTCATTTCCATGTGTTTGTGCAACGGTCCTTTGAGTCACCAACACAAACTAATAATATGAAGCCGCTACAACAACTAAGGAGCAACAAGACTACAAGTCCAAAATGTAACATGTTTTAAAATGCGATCAGTAAATTGACCAGTGACATCGCCTCACTTGAACCACTTCTGCATTTGGTGTGTGTCGTGGAGCATGACAACTTACATGTGCTACTGAAATGGGCTGAAGAAAAGTAATCAATGCTTTACCCTTACCGTTATGGAGAAATGTAGTCTTCCAGTCTATGGACTTGGGGTAGTGTCTTGCATAAAGACAGGAGGGAGAGGAAAACCAAAGTCCTATTAACGAAGAAGGTAACGAACTGTTTACTTTTTTTTCTTACCTTACCCTCTTTTGCCATGCCTTCTCGTTTACTACCCCCTCATTTCTGTGCTTTGATTATGACCTTCTGAATATACAGCGTTATTTGTGTTTGTATACCGTTGCTGTTTGACAAATAACTGCCTAAATGTAGATTGCACATCAGTAGTCACCTGGTGACTACTTCATCCGTACCGATTGCCTTTACGGAATTCAGTGCAATAATATATCTTCTGTTGTTGGCAGCTGAATGACACCCACTTGCTTTTGTATTCAAATACGTCTACTCTTTATTCACTGCAAGCTGGGCCTTCTAGTACTTCCGTTTGTTCACAATGCCTCCATCCACAAAGGAATGTAAACAGTAGCAAGTAAACCTGCTTCAAGTGGACAAATACTTTGGTTGAGTAACAAATTTTGGATTCTCAAAGCCGCATCCACTTCTTCTTGCGACGCTTTGCCAATCTGATGTTCCGCAACAAGCTTAGTAAAGAACGCTGGAATGCCCAAGTTAATCAATCAACTTAAATCAATTTCATCACTTTCCGAGTGTAGGAGCACAAGATTGCTTCAAGTAACTGTCCTTTTTGCCCTTCCTACTTAACCACCTTCCTACCCGACTGCCTGTGTTCTTACCTAACTACCTACCTTACCAGCTATCGCCTATCTCTCTTGTGGTGTGCAATTGTTTTAAGATTAAGACTGGTTGTCATTGCAAATAAGGGCACTGCTCACAGCTTCAGGAGGTAGCATAAAAATACAATGCTTGCGGCATTTCATCTGTTGTAATTGATTTGCAGAAAAAGGGGAGCAATCAACTCCGATGTCAGCAGGGAAGATGGTCATGTCTATTTTAATGTCTTTGCCATTGGTAATGGTAGCAAACACTTGCTACGATAATTGGTGAGACTGTTGCCGTTACTCGTGTTGTTGTTGGGGATTGTTGCTCGTTGATTATTGTCTTTGGGAAAGAAGTTGATGGCTGTGAGTTCGGTTATGGTGAGAAGATAGGTGTGAATGTGGAAAAGAAGGATGGCTGCAAAAGTGTTAGTGCTGATCTTGTGACACGTAGACTGGGTGCTCGGTCAGTCGGCTGATTAGATATGCTGAGAATGTTCATCGCCGCGATTGTGTGGTCCATAGTAGAGAAAGTGAATCGGAGTCGAGTCAACAACATACAGCTGAACGGGGACAATTCATCTGAATATAAATGCAGTCGTGAACGGATTGCAATAGTCATAATTGAATTTTAAGTAAATTAACTACTTCATACCAACTTACTCTAGTGGTAGTATTGGAGGATCGTAAAGACGAGTTCTTCAATTGTAGCTTTTAACCTATGGGACAGACAGAAGGAATGCGCCAAATCCATGTTTGTTATTGTTCGGGGCTCTCAAAGGCATCCATTCCAATGCCTTATTAGTTCCATCCAGTAACGTCTGGTAGGAGCAAGGATTATTGTATTCACCAAAGCCTTTTTTTGGCACTGATGCTACGACCGATTGTAGCGATTAGAGTGTTACTCCTCATTACCTTAAGTTTACTCTCTTTTTATTCTTAGAAGATGTTAGTAAGGTCGGCGAATATTTATGAGGAACACGCTTTTGTGATGAGGGAAAACACAGCCCAAAAACGATTAAACCACTTGTGCTCTCACTGTGACGATTCTCATAGCCTTTTTTTCACACCAAAACAATGGATTATGCGTCAAATTAAACAGTTAATTATTGAAGATGCTTGTTATATCATTTTAATTCATAACAGGGTTTTCCGCCATGAATGATCAACCACACACAAGAATGGGACCCTCGTCGAATGAAGGAGCTGCGATCGACTCCCATTGCTTTGACCAGTTGAATGCATCACAAGTTCACTCCATTTATCAGAACCACCGTAACCCAGATTTACTACCTGGCTCTAGCTGATGCACATCGGTACTGTACTCAAACCTTGAAAGCTAATCAGAAGTTGCGTTCCATTTTTCCTGCATTTAGGTTAGCTTTTCTACCCACGATAATTTACTTATCCTGTCAAACGAAGAAAACCTCGACCCCTCCTTTATAGCCATTTGTATTTTCATCTACTACCTGGGATGCACAATATGAATTTAGACAGGCGAAGTGGCTAAATCGGCTGTCAAAATGTCCACCTGCCCACCCCGATCGACCTTCTGAATCCACGTGCGTATGCTGTTAAGGTTACACACGATGAGTGTTAGGTCTGTGCCATCTGTTTAGCTCGCATCAGGTGTGGACTAATGACTATACCCCTCCTCCAATTCCGTTTTTCTCACCTTCAGTGGCTCAACGCAGCGGCTCATTAGACCTCATGTGATATTCGAATTCGGTGTGTAGGACATTTATGTTGCCAATTCCATGTGTCATGTCTGACCTAGCAGGGATGTCCTACCCAGCCAAATACACGCCTTCTGACAGTGGATACTAGAGGTGTCAAACTGCGGTCGCAAGATGTGGCCCCAATCCCTGTGCAGTGTGATAACTCGCGGATGTGATGCTTTTTTAGGATTATTAAGCAAAGGATTTGTCGTCGTGCCTCAAAGATGGCGAGGGTGGTGGCATTAATGTTACTTTGCCGACTAATGATGCTCCACAGATGGTAACACCTAACTACTGCGTACGGTTACTTGCAATGGTGCTACCCACGTGGGGATACCAAACAAACACGATCCATCCAATGAGAGATTATGTCGTGATTCAAATTACCAGCTTCCTGCCATCATCTCGTCCAACGCGTTTTTTCGCTTAAAAATGAGAGACAAGCGGTTCAAGCATACTATCCTGTCTCAAAGTACCAAGCTTTTGTAAGTAAAATATATTTTGCGCATGTTTCCATCAACATTCCATTCCTATCGTGTTCTATTCACAGTCTGAACTACTTCCACTTGGTAAAATATAATGCATTATTATTCATGATGCCAAAACTAATTTGGAAAAGGTTTCAACGATAAGAACACCTTAGGTCATTTCGAGAGCATACAGCGCAGAATGATGAATGTCAAGTCCAACACTTTTTTCCCACTTTACGCCAATACAGTGCTCTCCAGTAGACCTACCGTCTATAGAACTGCTCAATTCAATAATATGATGAACTTGGATATCAAACTGGTACTGATCACCTCACGACGTTAAGTTTGAGACCATTCTATCGATATTGATGTCCACACTATCGGTTCTGAGACACATTTTCCAAGTGCACAACAATTCTCCAAACCTTTACACAGTCTCTCTGCATCCGCGTTCCCATGAATCTAAAGTGGTCATGGTAGCAGTGCTCAAGCAACTTTGTAATTAAACAGTTTGTTTATGCGGTAGCTCAATCTGACGTTCTAGCCCTCAAGCCGTCCCTGAAGACGCAATAAGGCATACCATATCAGAAGTGAGTTCTATTACCCATGGATGGAAGGGCTCACCGAAACGGTCTACCACTGTGACATAATAGGTTCATGAGAGAGGATACCGTGGGAGGTAATAACAGCAGTCGGAGAAGTGGGGACATCCTTCTTAATAACAGGTGGCTATAGTGCCCACTTTCTGAAGAATAAGAAGTGTCACAAGGAAGATTGATCTCATGGCATCATATAGAGGAAATAAAAACTATCGAAGAGGAAACTAGGTGTTATATGAACCTCAGCTATAAACAGTTGAGATAAGGCCTCCATATCTCCTTGCTACCCTTCGCTTGTGCGGAGCTGTTAGTAGGGTTCACGCTGTTGTAATCAATGGAGGATGGTTGCACGAGAGAGGGTGATGGTGACGCAGGTAACTCGTGGACACCACTGTCACAAGAGGTGATTCGAGATGTTGAAACGGAGGTGGTGGCTGTGGTAGCGGTGAAGGCGGAGGCAGAGGCAGAGGTGGAAGCAGAATCGGAGATGGAGTCGGAGGTGAGAAAGGAAACGAAGCCGTGGCAGACAGCAGTGGTTGTTGCACTGCCACTACTGTGACTCGCCTGCAATCGAGCCTTCACTTCCGGATTCTCCTCCAGCAGCTTGCGCAGACCACTCAACACCTCGCAGCAGAAGTTCAACATCTCTGCCTTCTCCATACGAACACTGCTTTCCGCCTGCAACGCACACATAATCACCCAGTTCACTTGTCCAGTCAAAGCATCGTGCTGCACTTGTTAAACTCCACTACTGCCCTACCTACTGCTACGTATCGCATCGACCCAGTAACCGAGACACCAACATCGCCTACCCAATTGGCCCACGTGGTCAGGCACCACAGAACAGACGTGTCCTCATCATGACAAAGCAGTAAATTGATGGGCAACTTACCTCTTGTCCAACCATGGAGAGGGCGAGTCCGTGCAGTTCCAAAACCTTATCCGAAATCCGCGCTCGTCTTGCACGTTCCGCCTTCTGCTTCTTTACCTAATGCAAGGATGCGGTGTTTCGTAGTAGGCGCTCAGTTGACAAACTCAGAAAGTACGGAAACCAGATGTGTTGAATTACTTACTCTCCTTAACTCGATCGCCTGCTGCGAATTAGTGTGTGAGTGGTATCTACGCCTCGATGCACTTTCACGCGGCTTTGGTGAGTGGACGAACATCTCCTTCACCGTGAAGTTAGGAATGTTGGCGAGTGCCTCTGAACGCGCTCTCTTATATGTCAGCAAATCAGACAGCCCACCTACGTGTCAGTTCTGCGGCCACGCGAGCTAGTTCCTCCCACCCACCCTCCATTCAATCAGATCACGCGAACGTGCCGCGCAGATTGGCTGAGCTCTCAACCACTAGACAGCTACATTTACACCCATTTAAAATATGCGGATCAGGTGGAAAGGGAAATAAGGAGGAATGTGAACTACTACTGGGTGTAGAGAGGGGGGGACGCCAGGGCGAAGGAAGCGGTTTATGGTTTCACCGAACCTTACCTTTTGTATGCCTTGTGACATAGAATGCATAATTCAGCAGAGATCGGGGATATAGGCAATGACACTCCTGAGATGAGGGGGATGAGTGCGACGCGAGACTCACTTGCGCAACGCCTTCACAACAGGTCACGTAAAGCCACCTGACCGGCGAAGTAGCTTGCTCAACACCTGTGTGTTTGTTTAGCATATGCTTATGAGATAGGGTATGGATGATCTGTCACTTCTATTCCCCCCTTTCCTCAACCCCCTCAGTTCTCCCCTCTTTGAAAAGCTACGATGACTCAGAAAAATCAATTAAAGAAGTCGGGACCAGTCACTTCATTATTTCAGCATCTGCCTCCATTCACTCTCAGTTCCAATCAGTGGTTTAAAACAGGGAGAAGTTTAGTGCATCAGGCTTCTGTATCATACTTTCTTTGAAAAGGACTTGCGACAGATATCTTCATAATCCAGTAGGCCACTGAAGATATTTATAGGTCTACTCAGTTATGAAATTTGTAATGCAATAATTGGTGAGCATTGAGAATACGTTTATCAATGCATTGTTCACAATAAGTGGGATGTCCTTGTCACTTAGGAGAGGAAAATGTAGATTATGGAAGGAACGTGTAGATTTCACTCTTCTGTGGCCACGCAAGTTGATCGATGACGTACAGGAGGATGCATAGGCTATGGACCCGCCGTCACCTTGACAGTGAGGAGAAATGATGCCATTTACTACACCTACTTAACAGTCGGTGGTGCTTTCTTTCTTTCATAACGTAAAGCTTAGCTTTAAATTGCACGAAATTTGCACTTTTTGATTGACATTGAATAAAAAGTTGTCTGGGATAAATCGTAACGAGAGAAGTAGGTGCTATAATGCCTTGAGAGAAAACTCTAACGAAAAACCAAAGGACCCATTTTTTCCTTTTATAAGGATGGTAATCTAGAAAATTGTGCTAGTATCAGTGGATCATAAACGTTTCGAAGGAAGAATGGCCGACAAATTACGAAGGATTTACACATTCATGAACACCTTTGTTCATATTTTCCATTTAACAATTTCATGGCTAATTACTTTTCATCAGACTCATCTCATCTGTCGAATAGTAATGTAATACATACACATGAAAGGATTGATATCAACACAAGTGATGACGGTTTGAATTAGACGAATGCTATTTGACAATCAGGTATTCACTTCCAGTAAGACGAACGAGAGTGATGTTGCGCAGATTAGAACTTCGATACATATTAAAGCGTTCGTCGTACATCTCAAGTGGGATTAATTTTACATAGCTGACTCCCATCCCACTGCACCCCTTTTCGCCTGGGCCTGTCTCTCCACCTGATTATATCACTGCACCTACCGAGAGCAAGGCGGCCCACCTTTTAATTCATCCTCACAAATCGTGCACATATGCGAAGTGAAGCGAAGTTAGAAGTCTTCCTGCTGTCCACCTGTTGCCGTTTTACCCGCCTCTCACACGCCATGGCAACCGACTCAAAAGCGGTGCAAATGAAAGTGGACGTGTCTTCAACCCTTATCTCGTGGCCCTTTACAAGTAAATTAATTGAGCGACGGTCACCAAGCGACACCTTCCCCTTCCACTTTCAGTCGATTTAAATGGAGGCGTGAGTGGCACTCGCATCCCCAGACTTGTCGCACCAACCCCACTGAACTAACACGAAAAACCCCACTTGATGGCACTGCTGCTCTTCCGGATTCCGTATATCACTCTGGCAAAGGAGTTCATTGTGTGCTTTGTAGCACACCAAACCATTCCTGGCAGTATAACAATACGGACGAAAGCTTTTTATTGGCGTTTGAAAGGCTGGCATTCATCCAACACCATAGCACCAAAGTGCCATAACAAATATCGTCTGATCATTGCGTCGTGGGACCCACAAACGAAAATGAAGTTAATAACAAGCAAACATCGCGGCACTAATCTAGTGCTAATTTTCGATTCTGGGCAATAATGCTGTCCTAAAATGGTTCTTTGAGCCTATTTGGAACATGGATGATAAAATCAAATTAAGAAATTGAAATGGTTGCAATGCATCCGCATCATCAACAATTGAAAAAAAAGCATGACGAATCCTACCTTTTGAATATTACGACACCTAGACTGATATTTACATGGATGGCCAAGTTGTCTAGAAGGGTAATTTACTCGTCAGTTTTTGGTACAAAAGTAGAGTTGACGAGATTATCAAATTACCGTGTGGTCCTTGCAATTCGCCATTTCGTCAATCTAAAATGTCGGGAAATAGCATTTTGTTTTAATTATTTTTATTGCTCCTTCCAATCAAATGACTTCGGAATCATTACTCTCACTGCCCTCAATCGCAGCTTGTTCCTGAGAAAGAGGCATTTATAAGAGACCTAGAAATTAATGCCATGCAATTAAGGTGAAAGATGCCAATGGCCTTTCGTCGACCGAAATGCCCTCCCCGGTTAGTTAAGTCTTCCCACCTCAGTCTCCATAATCTCGTTGATAAATTTGTGACACTAACAGAAAGCAAAGCTTCCACCCGGCTAAAGCTCCTACAAATGTACAGTTGCTGAAAATTCCCTCGAGTATATCTAGCAAGCTGTGATAAGATTGGCAAGCAAGTAGGTAAACTTTCGATAAGTGTTTTGCATTGAGTGAACAAACAGATTCATATATGCGGAAGGCATATTAGTCAAAAGTCAACTTTTACGGTGGGAATTATCGTCAGGATGTGAGCACCTACGAGTGCGCGACCATGACTCCAACTAGATCGTCTGCAGTTTCTTACGAGTAACCGACGCTCCTACTTACCTGTCATCACCTCTACTGAGAGCATCACCACTCTAGCCGCAACCCCCATGATTTACGCATCTAGGGTGGGCAAGGAGTTATATGGGAAAATCTAGTTACCTTCACATCGCATGCAGATGTATCTGCGGTTCTTCCAGTCAAGTTGGCTATCCTGCAATTTATGGATCACGTTCATAAACTCCCATGCAATTGTGACAGGTTAAAGGCTATTACTTCGCTCCGTAAAAGAAGCTAAAATGAAGGTCAAGGAAAGTGTTGGAAAATGAGTACGATGTGGATCAAAGCGGCAGTAATTAAGGTACGGTGACAGCATCACAATGATGTGTGACAACCTTGCACGCGTATCCGTCTCTGAGGAGAATTACCATTGTGATATCATGACTGCTAAGCGCAAAACAACCTCCAAAGGTTTTTTCATTTCCATGTGTTTGTGCAACGGTCCTTTGAGTCACCAACACAAACTAATAATATGAAGCCGCTACAACAACTAAGGAGCAACAAGACTACAAGTCCAAAATGTAACATGTTTTAAAATGCGATCAGTAAATTGACCAGTGACATCGCCTCACTTGAACCACTTCTGCATTTGGTGTGTGTCGTGGAGCATGACAACTTACATGTGCTACTGAAATGGGCTGAAGAAAAGTAATCAATGCTTTACCCTTACCGTTATGGAGAAATGTAGTCTTCCAGTCTATGGACTTGGGGTAGTGTCTTGCATAAAGACAGGAGGGAGAGGAAAACCAAAGTCCTATTAACGAAGAAGGTAACGAACTGTTTACTTTTTTTTCTTACCTTACCCTCTTTTGCCATGCCTTCTCGTTTACTACCCCCTCATTTCTGTGCTTTGATTATGACCTTCTGAATATACAGCGTTATTTGTGTTTGTATACCGTTGCTGTTTGACAAATAACTGCCTAAATGTAGATTGCACATCAGTAGTCACCTGGTGACTACTTCATCCGTACCGATTGCCTTTACGGAATTCAGTGCAATAATATATCTTCTGTTGTTGGCAGCTGAATGACACCCACTTGCTTTTGTATTCAAATACGTCTACTCTTTATTCACTGCAAGCTGGGCCTTCTAGTACTTCCGTTTGTTCACAATGCCTCCATCCACAAAGGAATGTAAACAGTAGCAAGTAAACCTGCTTCAAGTGGACAAATACTTTGGTTGAGTAACAAATTTTGGATTCTCAAAGCCGCATCCACTTCTTCTTGCGACGCTTTGCCAATCTGATGTTCCGCAACAAGCTTAGTAAAGAACGCTGGAATGCCCAAGTTAATCAATCAACTTAAATCAATTTCATCACTTTCCGAGTGTAGGAGCACAAGATTGCTTCAAGTAACTGTCCTTTTTGCCCTTCCTACTTAACCACCTTCCTACCCGACTGCCTGTGTTCTTACCTAACTACCTACCTTACCAGCTATCGCCTATCTCTCTTGTGGTGTGCAATTGTTTTAAGATTAAGACTGGTTGTCATTGCAAATAAGGGCACTGCTCACAGCTTCAGGAGGTAGCATAAAAATACAATGCTTGCGGCATTTCATCTGTTGTAATTGATTTGCAGAAAAAGGGGAGCAATCAACTCCGATGTCAGCAGGGAAGATGGTCATGTCTATTTTAATGTCTTTGCCATTGGTAATGGTAGCAAACACTTGCTACGATAATTGGTGAGACTGTTGCCGTTACTCGTGTTGTTGTTGGGGATTGTTGCTCGTTGATTATTGTCTTTGGGAAAGAAGTTGATGGCTGTGAGTTCGGTTATGGTGAGAAGATAGGTGTGAATGTGGAAAAGAAGGATGGCTGCAAAAGTGTTAGTGCTGATCTTGTGACACGTAGACTGGGTGCTCGGTCAGTCGGCTGATTAGATATGCTGAGAATGTTCATCGCCGCGATTGTGTGGTCCATAGTAGAGAAAGTGAATCGGAGTCGAGTCAACAACATACAGCTGAACGGGGACAATTCATCTGAATATAAATGCAGTCGTGAACGGATTGCAATAGTCATAATTGAATTTTAAGTAAATTAACTACTTCATACCAACTTACTCTAGTGGTAGTATTGGAGGATCGTAAAGACGAGTTCTTCAATTGTAGCTTTTAACCTATGGGACAGACAGAAGGAATGCGCCAAATCCATGTTTGTTATTGTTCGGGGCTCTCAAAGGCATCCATTCCAATGCCTTATTAGTTCCATCCAGTAACGTCTGGTAGGAGCAAGGATTATTGTATTCACCAAAGCCTTTTTTTGGCACTGATGCTACGACCGATTGTAGCGATTAGAGTGTTACTCCTCATTACCTTAAGTTTACTCTCTTTTTATTCTTAGAAGATGTTAGTAAGGTCGGCGAATATTTATGAGGAACACGCTTTTGTGATGAGGGAAAACACAGCCCAAAAACGATTAAACCACTTGTGCTCTCACTGTGACGATTCTCATAGCCTTTTTTTCACACCAAAACAATGGATTATGCGTCAAATTAAACAGTTAATTATTGAAGATGCTTGTTATATCATTTTAATTCATAACAGGGTTTTCCGCCATGAATGATCAACCACACACAAGAATGGGACCCTCGTCGAATGAAGGAGCTGCGATCGACTCCCATTGCTTTGACCAGTTGAATGCATCACAAGTTCACTCCATTTATCAGAACCACCGTAACCCAGATTTACTACCTGGCTCTAGCTGATGCACATCGGTACTGTACTCAAACCTTGAAAGCTAATCAGAAGTTGCGTTCCATTTTTCCTGCATTTAGGTTAGCTTTTCTACCCACGATAATTTACTTATCCTGTCAAACGAAGAAAACCTCGACCCCTCCTTTATAGCCATTTGTATTTTCATCTACTACCTGGGATGCACAATATGAATTTAGACAGGCGAAGTGGCTAAATCGGCTGTCAAAATGTCCACCTGCCCACCCCGATCGACCTTCTGAATCCACGTGCGTATGCTGTTAAGGTTACACACGATGAGTGTTAGGTCTGTGCCATCTGTTTAGCTCGCATCAGGTGTGGACTAATGACTATACCCCTCCTCCAATTCCGTTTTTCTCACCTTCAGTGGCTCAACGCAGCGGCTCATTAGACCTCATGTGATATTCGAATTCGGTGTGTAGGACATTTATGTTGCCAATTCCATGTGTCATGTCTGACCTAGCAGGGATGTCCTACCCAGCCAAATACACGCCTTCTGACAGTGGATACTAGAGGTGTCAAACTGCGGTCGCAAGATGTGGCCCCAATCCCTGTGCAGTGTGATAACTCGCGGATGTGATGCTTTTTTAGGATTATTAAGCAAAGGATTTGTCGTCGTGCCTCAAAGATGGCGAGGGTGGTGGCATTAATGTTACTTTGCCGACTAATGATGCTCCACAGATGGTAACACCTAACTACTGCGTACGGTTACTTGCAATGGTGCTACCCACGTGGGGATACCAAACAAACACGATCCATCCAATGAGAGATTATGTCGTGATTCAAATTACCAGCTTCCTGCCATCATCTCGTCCAACGCGTTTTTTCGCTTAAAAATGAGAGACAAGCGGTTCAAGCATACTATCCTGTCTCAAAGTACCAAGCTTTTGTAAGTAAAATATATTTTGCGCATGTTTCCATCAACATTCCATTCCTATCGTGTTCTATTCACAGTCTGAACTACTTCCACTTGGTAAAATATAATGCATTATTATTCATGATGCCAAAACTAATTTGGAAAAGGTTTCAACGATAAGAACACCTTAGGTCATTTCGAGAGCATACAGCGCAGAATGATGAATGTCAAGTCCAACACTTTTTTCCCACTTTACGCCAATACAGTGCTCTCCAGTAGACCTACCGTCTATAGAACTGCTCAATTCAATAATATGATGAACTTGGATATCAAACTGGTACTGATCACCTCACGACGTTAAGTTTGAGACCATTCTATCGATATTGATGTCCACACTATCGGTTCTGAGACACATTTTCCAAGTGCACAACAATTCTCCAAACCTTTACACAGTCTCTCTGCATCCGCGTTCCCATGAATCTAAAGTGGTCATGGTAGCAGTGCTCAAGCAACTTTGTAATTAAACAGTTTGTTTATGCGGTAGCTCAATCTGACGTTCTAGCCCTCAAGCCGTCCCTGAAGACGCAATAAGGCATACCATATCAGAAGTGAGTTCTATTACCCATGGATGGAAGGGCTCACCGAAACGGTCTACCACTGTGACATAATAGGTTCATGAGAGAGGATACCGTGGGAGGTAATAACAGCAGTCGGAGAAGTGGGGACATCCTTCTTAATAACAGGTGGCTATAGTGCCCACTTTCTGAAGAATAAGAAGTGTCACAAGGAAGATTGATCTCATGGCATCATATAGAGGAAATAAAAACTATCGAAGAGGAAACTAGGTGTTATATGAACCTCAGCTATAAACAGTTGAGATAAGGCCTCCATATCTCCTTGCTACCCTTCGCTTGTGCGGAGCTGTTAGTAGGGTTCACGCTGTTGTAATCAATGGAGGATGGTTGCACGAGAGAGGGTGATGGTGACGCAGGTAACTCGTGGACACCACTGTCACAAGAGGTGATTCGAGATGTTGAAACGGAGGTGGTGGCTGTGGTAGCGGTGAAGGCGGAGGCAGAGGCAGAGGTGGAAGCAGAATCGGAGATGGAGTCGGAGGTGAGAAAGGAAACGAAGCCGTGGCAGACAGCAGTGGTTGTTGCACTGCCACTACTGTGACTCGCCTGCAATCGAGCCTTCACTTCCGGATTCTCCTCCAGCAGCTTGCGCAGACCACTCAACACCTCGCAGCAGAAGTTCAACATCTCTGCCTTCTCCATACGAACACTGCTTTCCGCCTGCAACGCACACATAATCACCCAGTTCACTTGTCCAGTCAAAGCATCGTGCTGCACTTGTTAAACTCCACTACTGCCCTACCTACTGCTACGTATCGCATCGACCCAGTAACCGAGACACCAACATCGCCTACCCAATTGGCCCACGTGGTCAGGCACCACAGAACAGACGTGTCCTCATCATGACAAAGCAGTAAATTGATGGGCAACTTACCTCTTGTCCAACCATGGAGAGGGCGAGTCCGTGCAGTTCCAAAACCTTATCCGAAATCCGCGCTCGTCTTGCACGTTCCGCCTTCTGCTTCTTTACCTAATGCAAGGATGCGGTGTTTCGTAGTAGGCGCTCAGTTGACAAACTCAGAAAGTACGGAAACCAGATGTGTTGAATTACTTACTCTCCTTAACTCGATCGCCTGCTGCGAATTAGTGTGTGAGTGGTATCTACGCCTCGATGCACTTTCACGCGGCTTTGGTGAGTGGACGAACATCTCCTTCACCGTGAAGTTAGGAATGTTGGCGAGTGCCTCTGAACGCGCTCTCTTATATGTCAGCAAATCAGACAGCCCACCTACGTGTCAGTTCTGCGGCCACGCGAGCTAGTTCCTCCCACCCACCCTCCATTCAATCAGATCACGCGAACGTGCCGCGCAGATTGGCTGAGCTCTCAACCACTAG